CTGTGCTTCTCGCGCCCGCCCGCACCGCGTCGAAAAGAGGGGCCGCGCTGCGCCCCGCAGCGGACTGGTAGGGCTCGGCGGGGGGCGGGGGGTGCCCGTGGCTGACGTGGGCCCGGGAGCACCCCGAGTGCGGGGAGCTGGCCTGGGTCCTGAGCTCGAGCTTGGGGTCGGACGAGACCTCAGCGTCCTCCGGGTGGCTGGGGACGCTGCGGGGCCCGTGGGCTGTGCGGGGCCGCGCTGTCCTCGCCCGGGCTCCGGGTCCCCTGGGCGTGTGCGCGGGGGCCTGCGGGGTGGGAACCGCGCGCGCCCGGCCTCGGCACCCGCACCTCCCCTCGGACTTGGGTTGTGCGGGAGCCGCGGGGGGTTGGAGCGGGCAGGTTCCAGGGCCGAGCTTGGGGGGGAGGGGGTCCCGGCAGCCAGATCCCTCCCGAGGAGTCCATCTTCGGCCTCGGGCTGGCCAGAGATGGAGAGGTCACCGCGGGGCAGCTGGAGGGAGCGCCAGGGGTGACGCGTCCCTGCGCCCCTGCCGTCCTCCCTGGCAGGGGTCCCCTCCTCACCCCGACCTCCCCCCCCCCCGCACCTGCCAGGCCACGCACTTTCTCGGCCAGTGTCCGGTAGTAGGTGCCCGAGGCCGGCCCAGCCTCCTTGATGGCCGCTTTGTAATGCCTGCCTTCCGGTTTCTGAAGTTGGGGGTCGCTTCTGGGAGGAGGGGCTCGCTGAAAGGCGGGCGCATTTGGAGTCAGGGAAGCCTTCGGGGACCCTAACCCATGTCACAGGCATTATGGGATGCGTACATTCATTCAGAAGAGACCCAAACCCAGGGCTGCTGACTCCTAGTCCAGTGCTCGTGCTATGGCTGGGGGGCCCTGAGCTAGGGGTCTGGAGGCCTGGCTTTGAACACCCCGCCAGCCTCTGAGCCAGCTGACACTTGTGCAGCAGGTACAGGTGAGGACCCTGCCGCAGAGAGCCTGGGAGAAGCCCAGTGCCAAGTGGGCAGGAGATGGCTGGGGGCCTCCTCCTCTCTCTCCTGTGGTTTTTCACTGACAACTACATCCAGTGACTTCCACATGAATGTCAAATTGTCCCAGGGTCCCCGGAGGGCTCTGGGGGTACCATACCCTGTGGGTGGGGACTGGGAGATGAAAATCAAGAATCGTCACAAGTATGCGGGCGCTGGTGGCTCACACCTGTCATCATCCTGGCTACTCAGGAGAATAAGATCTGAAGATCACAATTCAAAGCCAGCCCAGGCAGGAAAGCCCGGGAGACTCTTATCTCCAATGAACCACCAGAAAACTGGAAGTAATGCTGTGGCTCAAGTGGTAGAGCGCTAGCTTTGAGCTGAAGAGCTGAGGGACAGCGCCCAGACCCAGAGTTCAAGACCCATGACCGACAAAAAACAAAGAAAGAAAGAGAAAGAGAGACACAGAGAGAGAGAAAGACAGAGAGAGAGAGAATGGTCACAAATAAAATATATTTGATGACAATTAGTTGGAAGACAAGGACAGCCTGTTTTAATTTCTTTTTCCTTTCGTGCACGTGTGTGTGTGTGTGTGTGTGTGTGTGTGTGTGTGTGTGTTGATTAGAGCCTGAACTGAGGACCTCCTTCCCTCCCTAGCTTTTTCACTCAAGGCTGGCACTCTACCACTTGAGCCACAGCTCACCTTAGTTTTAGCCCCTGCCTAGCAGAAAACTCTTATCTCCAAGTAACCATCAAAAGCTGCAAGAGGCGCTGTGGCTCAAGTGGTAGAGTGCTAGCCTTGAGCACAAAGAGGCTCAGGGACAGTGCCTAGGCCCTGAGTTCAAGTTCCACAACTGACAAAACAAACGAGAAACAAAACAGGCTCAAATCCCTGCTCTCGATGGCAATTGGGAAGACCAGAAAGAAATATATACGTAAACAAGTGAAGTCAGCCAGTCCATGACATTGGCATCTGGAAGCTTGTGTTATAATGTCATCCTTTCCTGAGGCTAAATTTACAGCACAGGATGAACTGCTGTTTCAATTTGTGTGCGTGTGTGTGTGTGTGTGTGTGTGTCTGTGTCTGTGTGTGTGTGTGTGTGTCTGTGTTTGTCTGTGTCTGTGTCTGTGTGTATGGGGCTTGAACTCAGGGCCTGGGTGCTGTCCCTGAACATTTGTGTTTAAGGATAGCACTCTACCACTTGAGCTACAGCTCCACTTCCGGCTTTTTGGTGCTTAATTGGACTTCCGGCTTTTTGGTGCTTAATTGGAGATAAGAGTCTCACAGACTTTCCTGCCTGGGTTGGCTTCAAATGGTGATCCTCCGATCTCAGCCACTGAGTAGCTAGGATTGCAGGTGTGAACCACCAGTGCTTGTCAGGACTACTGTTTCAACTTGCCAACCCTAGGAGATTGCCTCCGAGGAATCTACCCGCCCAGAGACCCAGCAGCAGAAGCCCGAGGTCAGAGCGGTAAGAGGATGGCAGGGAGACCCCAGAAGTGGTTTAGTTTTTAACTTCTTTTATAACCTCTTACATAAGGCAGGTCCAGAGTGGAGACGGAATGGCCAGAGGGCAGAAAGAAAAGGAAAGTCGGTTGTCCTCACCCTGGGGTCTCTTAAGCTGAGTGACACGTGGCCAGGCAATTTCCATCACTCCATCACCACTTTTGTTTTCTTTTCGGATACTGGGTCTTGAACTCAGGGCCTGGGTGCTTTCCCTTAGCTTTTTCATTCAAGGATGCCTCTCTACCACTTGAGCCACAGTTCTACTTCCAGCTTTTTGTTGACTCTTAGAGATAAGAGACTTGGGGATTTTTTTTTCTGCTTTGGCTGGCTTCAAACTTCAATCCCCAGATCTCAGCCTCCAGAGCAGCTAGGATTATAGGCCTGAGCCACCAGCACTTGGCTGCTTTTTTTTTTTTTTAATTAAAAACATCAAGTCAGGCATCCGTGGCTCACACCTGTAAATCCTAGCTATTCAGGATGCTGAGATCTGAGGATCACAATTTAAAGCCAGCTGGGTAGTAAAGTCTCTGAGACTCTTATCTCCAATTATTCATTTGAAAACTGGAAGTGGTGCTGTGGCTCAAGTGGTAGAGCGCTCCCCTTGAGCTAAAGAGACAGCACCCAGGCCCAGAGTTCAAACCCCACGACCGACCAAAAAAAAAAAAATTAAAACAAAAATCAGACAAGAGTTCTTCCCTATTGTCTGTAGTCAGATGTCATGAGGTAGAGAGACAGGAGGAGGTATGGTTTTCCAAGGGACAGGAGGCAGCCTTCCAACTTGGTAAGGAGGAGGCCAGGTGCTGCTGTTCTGTCTTACAGGCCGTGGGCAAGGGCGTCTCTCCTGCCCCTTTCTATGGGAGTCAGCTGAGGGTCCTTATGGCTGTATCTAGGGAGACAGCTGAGAAGAGAGGCTCCCAGGCCTGTGGGCAGGCCTGCATGGAAGTCAGCCGATTTTGTGGTCGTAAGGGTGGATAGTACCTTCAGGGCTAGCTTTGTCAGGCTCCCGCTCAGTTTTGTAGAAATCTCAGATCTCTCTTGGCGGTGTCCTTTGGTCCTTCTCTACCTCTGGTGGTGTGTGACACGGGCTGGGGCAGCTTCTGGCCCACAGAGCATGTAGGGCAGGGACAGTACCTAATTCTGATACCGGCCCTCTGGTACAAGACGCTCTGCTCTCATTGCAGGAAGCGGGAGATAAGAGTTAATTTAATTAACTGGAAGGACTGGAGGTTCCCCAAGGTCATCTCCACCTGTTTGGACTGCCCAGCCCCAGCGCTGGGCCAGTGGTGTGGGTCCCTTGCATTTCCATCCTTTTCCTCTGTGCTCGCTCTCAGATGAGCTGCGGCCTCCTGTCCTGATAGGTACCATAGAGAACCCGAAGAGGCCAGACTGAGGCTCAAGTCAGGAGACACCCAGAAACGCAAGGTCAGGGATGGTATAAATAGACATGGCGGATGTTTCTGGACTAAAAATAGAGCCGAAGGGGGCCTGCCAGGGTGCCCAGGAGCCAGAGGGCTACAAGGGGTCTCCAGAGGATGGGGGCGGGGGGCAGGCCAGCTGGTCAGCATATAACAAGCATCTGGACACTGCCTGCTGCCCACTCAGCCCCTGGTGATGCTCACACAACCCTCTGGGCTCCCTTGCTACAGAGGTGGCCAGATGAGCAGGCCAGCCTTGGCCTGTGGTCCGTGTAAACAGGCTTGGAATGCACTTGCCAGAGGAGGGCACTGTGTGGCTGGTCTGACGCAGGCGCGTGGTAGTGTGGTCGGCCAGCTGGCGTGGGTAGGAGAGGGAGGGGTGCCACGTCCAGAGCCCGGGGCCGGTGCCTGTGACACTCAGGGGCACAGCGTGCTGGGAGCCCCAACGCTCCCCAGCTCAGTTAGCAGACAGGAGGCTCAGGGCTAGCTGCGCAGTGTCCTGGAACCAGGAGCCTTTGGATGTCCTCTGGGGCGGGACTTCCTGTTTTTTCTGGCAGGAGGGAGGGCCTTCGGGGCCACCTTGGTCCCATGGCTTCCTCTATTCTCCTGCCAGTGCCTGGCAGCATCCCCCTAGGCCCCAGGACCAGGAAGACCGCCTCCTCCTGTGCCAGCCCTGTTGTGTGCCCACAGGCTCCGCAGTGGCTGACCCTCCAGCCCGCCAGGAGCTGGGCATGGCCCCTGCACGGTGGCACCTTGTTGTCTCAATAGAGGGTGACAGGGGTCTCTTCTTGGCCCTGAGCCCTGGCGTGTGGCAGCCAGCGCGGCCAGCAGGGGTGGGCGGGGTCCTGCCTCCCACTGCCTCTCCTCTCAA